CTTTCTATATAACTCCACAGTGGTCAGCAGGGCTAGATGGAGGAAAATCCCTGGCTTAAGGCCTGAGCTTAAAAATCTCATGTGCAGACCTCAAGCTCTACTTACTAGCTGTGTGACCTTTTTAGTAACCTCCTTAAACCTGGGTTTCATCACATGAAAATATGCCTCAGAGTTATAAAAACTAAAGATACTGTCTACCAAGCACTTAGCACATGCTAGGTACTAAGCAGAAGACAGCTGTCATAAATTGTTATCCATTATGGTCAGGGGCATAGGCAGCTACTTTGGATTGTATCAAAAATAAGACAGATGATGACATAGTAGTGGACAGGTAGATAGTCATGAGATAAAGCACATTTAGTCAAATGCACACTGGAGAACCTAGATGGTGACACGGGAAGGTTCACGATTCTTTCAGCTTCTCTTATGTTTGAAAATGTTCATAACAGAACCTTGGGAAGAGCTACACAGACTGTTCATTTTGACAGGATTCTGCAAAATAAGATTTAAAAGAATGAGTCATGTTGCTCATCTGGGGCATTCAGAGCATCAAGTTCTGTCCAATCCGAGTCATTACCTTTAAATTCTATCCAATCCAAGTCACCATCTTATTAATCCTGTGACAGCACAGGATTCTGTGACCTCAGGCAGGTCCAGTCTAACCATGGGGGGATGGCCACATGTAACTGCACACAGATGAGACTGACATGTGGGGCTGATGTAAGCCTGTGTAAGGTTCGACTTCTTCCTCTCTCCTGCTGCATCAATTCAGCCTTAGTTCAGTTCTCCAGGCTGCTGTGAGACAGGATTAGCACGTTCAGTGCACCTGGGCCACTCTGCAAACAGTAGTGTGCACATGACTCACCTAAGATCTCACGTCAAAGCCAAGGTTGATCCAGTAGGTCCAGGGTTGGGCCCGAGATTCTGCATTTCCAACGTTTGCAACACTTGGTGGTGTGGACCCTACAGTGTGGGTCACTCTGTGAGCACTGAGGCCCTGGACCATGGTTCTCTACCCTGGCCATACCTGACAATTATCTGGGGAGGTTTAAAAGCAAGTCCCAAAGCACTAATCTAATCAGAATCTCCAGGGCTGGAAGACGAGCAACTCCCTTTAACCCTCTCAGGCAGGTGTAATCAGCTAGCACTCCAGGAGGGACCTTGTGATCACACAGCAAGCTATGAGCATCTCCAGCACCACACAGCTACACTGGGGACAAAAGACTTAAGTGAGTACCACCTGGTGCCACCCTGCAGGCAGGGCACATCTCCTTTCGGTATCCATAGCCCCAAGCCCAGCCCCAAGGCTCACCACCATGTGCAAAGCAGGAGGAAAGGTGGGTACAGTTCTGCCTGTCTTCTGGTGATCCATGGTCTCATTCTCGCCCTCACCTGCTAGGCCAGGTGCCAGCATCCTCCCTGGGCACAAACTGGCTGGCAGTAAGGTCTGTTGCAAACCTCCAGTCTTGGACTCTTTGAGGTTTGCTTTGTTTTAATTTTATTCTCTTATGTTTATTTCCTTAAATAATATATTTATTTATAAATTGCAAGTCTGTATTTGTAAACTATAAATATACAGTTATTTTATGATTACCCTAAGATTTCACCTTCCCTATGAAGGTTAGCAGGAAGGGCCAAATATCTGGGCTGGGAACTGTTCAGGACACTTAAGAGTCAGCCTCAGGGACAGTGGACAAATTCCAGCAAAATGTACTTTAAGCTTTAAAGAGCCATGGTCCCTTCCCTTCCATGTGAGATGTGAAACCCGTGTGAGATGTAAGCAGTCTTGGGGACAATGGCCACCACCAGCAGTTAAGGTTTCTAAAGATCAAATGGGTACTTTAGTGAAAAAATAAGGATCAGAAGAGTCAAAGTGCACTCACATGAATATGGATTTACACACCTGTCCTTGGAATTTGAGCAGCCACACAGACTACTGAAAAAGAGTCACCTCAGGGATGACAGGCGCTTACTTTCAAGACATGCATTGCTGATTAAAAGATGTTATTAGGTTTTTGCCTTACACCAAAAAATGAGTCATATTCCACTGTCTGTATGTCTTGGTTTATGGGCATCTCCCAGACTAGGCCGGAGTGCCGGAAGGTGGGGCATGCGGCAATTGCAACCACCAAGGCCGGCGATCCGCAGCTTCGCAGGGTTGCTTGTGTTCCCCGTCCACACTGGGACAGCAGAAAGAGGCATAGTGAAATCAATCACTTGCTCCCCTACAAGCACTGATGGCTCCTAAGTTCCTAGGAGATAGCCAAGTCAATCCATAATTGGCTTAAGGAAATGCCAGCAACCGACAGAAGCAATAAGCCCTGTCCCTGCTGACAGAGAGACTGCTGACAGGGAGCAAGGATATGCACGATCAATTGCCCTTGGCAGGGCTCAGCAGGTGGGGTGTGAAGACCCTTCCAAAAAGATAGGCCCTGGACACTCACACAAGATGCCACATCTGCACTCTGCCTTTTCAGGATGGAGAACAGGGGCAGGACAAAGCCGGGGGAAAAAAAAGGGTCACAATCCCAGAGAGACAAAGCACACAATAAAAGTCTCTCAATTCCAACTCAGAGAACTATGATAAAAAGGAAACAGAAAACTCCAACTGCCTCTGCAGGGAAAAGACTCATCTGACATCAGGTGTTACCTACCACGGACACAGAAGTCGGTTTTCCAGGCCTGCCTGCATGGGCAATAGAACAGTGCCTGATTTGGGGTGACTCCCACCACCCCAGTCTTGGTCCATGTGACTCGCAAGTGGCTGACCATCCCCCCCCACCACCACTACCCTCCAGCTCTAGAGCATTCCATCCCTTTGGCCAGGGATGGAACTCAGGGACATGGCAATGAGCCAACAGAACCAGAGAGCTGGGCCCAGGACTTTGCTGGAATTGCAGGATGAAGCCCCCTATTCTGACTGAGGGATGAGGCTGAGTGGCACTAACCCTAGAGCTACTCGGGGGACCCATTCAGCCATAGGGTGGGAAGAACCCAGAAGAAAGAGACCAGAGAAGGCAGGGGCAGATTGCTGTCAACCTCATCCAGGTATCCAGGACTTTTTCAGGTATATAAATAATGCTTTTTTTTTTTTAACTTAAGCCAGTCTAGGAAGAACCTGACACTTACAAATGAAAAATCCCGATGAATGCTTTCTTCTCCCAGATGATGACTGTTTCCAAGGTTTCCTTATCAGTGAAGCTTAGATCATCTAACTCAGCATGTGTTTCCATACCTTACCAACTTAGTTTTGCAACTGAGAACCCCATGAGGTTTCCAAGGAGAATGCCAGGAATGGGCCTTGGGAAAGGCAGGCTGGTCAGGTCAGGACCTCCTCTCCCTGAGCCCTGAGTCCTCACCACCAGTACCCCCTGCAGAACTCAGCCACAGCCTGGCTCTCAGACAGGGGATTCAGAAAAGCCCCCACTGGCTTGGCCCCAGGACCATCCTTTGATTCACCTCTCAATTCAGCTATGATGCCTCCAAGAGCTGCCATGCCCCAGGGCAGGCCTCGCCCCTTAGCAGTCTCCCGGGCCCAGGCCAGGTACCTGTGCCCTCTTCCCTGATGGTAACAAGGGCTGTGACAAGTCCTGCTGATGCAAGTCTCCCAGACGATACAGATAGGTCAGTCTGAGGCTGCAATGTGGACTACAAACACACACCAGCCAAAACCCCTGTCTTGCATTGGACATCAAACCAACCTGAGCCACGCTGATATTCTTAGAGCAAAAAATCCTGCTCAGAAGGTGGCAGAGGCAGCCCATGAGGAGCACTGAGCCAGGCCTGGGCTCCATCCCCCTGCCCCTCACTGGGGAGTCGGTCTTCTCCACATCTTCGCCAGGCTGAACCCCCCACTGTTAAGATGATACCACTGGACCATGGCATTGACCACAAGCCCTGCACTTTTGCCAAGGCAGTTTCCCAAGCTCACACATACCCTCCGACAATGTAGGCTCACACCAGGCCTGGGAAGGAAGCAGCACTGTACCCTTTTCACGTGGTTTGAAGGGTAAGGCACAGGTCTGGAGCCAGACCTGGCTGGCTCGGCCTCTCACTAACCCACAACCCTGACTCCAGGCCTCTCTCTCTCACCTGTAAAGGAGTAGTGCCCACCTCAGAGAATGACTGGGAGCAGAGAACAGCTGCAAAGCATGTAGCACCACATCTGGCAGGCAGTAAGAGCTCCATCATGTTGGCTACTGTTATCATTCCTGCAAATGGCCAAACTTCATCTCTAAAGTTCCTTCCATCCTAAGACTCTGAGATCTAGGCCCCACTATGGCATGCGAGCTGCCAGGAATGGGGGCACTAACTCAACCAAAGATCTATTTGCACCTGGGGGAAAGGAGGGGTGATGCCAAGGTGGGGGAACACTGCCTTGCTGGCCTGCAGGCCATGCCCGGGGGGACCAAACTGCACTCCCTGTCCTGCCCAGCATCCAGCCTCTTTGAGGGCTTTGTGACCTTTTCATCTGGGTTGGTTACACTGAATTCAAGTCAACATCATGATAAACAAAGCCAGTTGCCCTGGAGTGCCATGCTAACTTCTTGGCAGAAACATAGTTCTTCAAGGCCAAAGCCATGCAGGGTGGCGTCAAAGCCCCAGGATTTGAAGTAACAGTACAAAGGCAGATAGACTCAAACTTCCCGGGTGCGAATCCTGGCCCTCCACTTTCCAGCTCCGTAACTTCTCTGAGCAAAGCGTGTTCAACTGTAAATGGTTCTAGTTCTTGGAGTCCAATGTGCTGACACATGTAAAGCTCTTAAACGGTGCCTGGACAAATAACAGGGTACAGGGTTTAGCGAGTTCCATCACCGGGGGATACCTGCTCAGTGACTGAAGCGAGCCCCACTCTTCTTCCTCTTTTTGACCCTGGACTCTTTGCCTGGCCATGCTGAGTGCTGCTCTGTGCTCATCACAAAGTCACAGCGACCCCACAGAGGCTACGGCGATGCTCCATTCCTAGCACTGTCCAGGCCCACTCAGCACAGCACCCTTACCGGTAGGTCGCCACTTCCAGGCTGAGGCCGGTCTTTGCCTGCAGGAGCTCCTGATAGTCCCGCAGCCTGTCAGTCATGGCCAAGGTGAGCGTCGCCTTCTCATTCTCCAGGCAGTCAATCACTCTCTAAAGAGAACAGAGGGGCTTTTAGATCAGACTGGGTCAAACTGAAGGTAGCACAATTCAGGGCATAAAAAGGGATGAAAAGCCCCTAGGTTTAATAAACATGCAGTCATTTACAAGGGTGGTCTCAAATACTGATAGGTATCTCTGTTCAGACTCTCTGAAAATAAGCTAAGTCTAGAAATCAGGAGTTTTACAATACTGGGAACAGAAGTCACTCAGATTTAACTAGGCTATCCCCCCAAAATTGTGATTTTCCCAATAATGAGCAGGTCAACTGATACAGAGTTCTTTGTTTCACCTAGAGAAGTTACTTTAAGATCATCTGGGGAGAAATACATTCAGGGCATAAATGACAAAAATTCCAACCCAGACATAATTATTCTTTTTGGACTATATTTGCATAGCATAGCTAATAAGCGCTCCCTGGGCACCTGTCCACAGCACCCTCAGGCCCTTCCATGGCTCCACTCTCCCCTGGGTAGCAACTTCTGGCCTGCCTCTCTTCCCTGGTGGGAGATAGTCCAGCCTTCCACATCCTGGCCCCTGGACCCTACACAGATAACACACCATTGCTGAATTGAATTTAAAATGAAACGATCAAGCTAATATGACCCTCCTTGCCATGGACCATTTTAACAATACCTTTTAATTAATAAACACAAAGGCTTCATCTGTACTATCTTACAATTTTGTGTTTTCTTCCTAGTTGTTAGTTACTCCAGGGAATAATTATCCAAGCAAATATTAAACATTGAAATAAGTCCATATACTTTTAGCTTCTGGTTTGTAATTGGAAGTAGTATTATTTCCGAACATAATTAACTAAGCTACACCTATAAACATTTATCTTTGTAGAACTCAAAGACTAAGACTTTTGGGAGAAGGAATATATTTTCAGCTGCAGAATCCTTCACCAAAGGCACCTAGCAAGATGTTGTCAATAAATATGTGATGTCTGTGAAGCCAAGGAACAAACTTAACTAAGATCTCACCCTGAATTTGTCATTTTTAGAAATACATGTTCAGCACGTAGTCCTGCTTCCCAAAGCAGTTGTATTTCTATGCCAGTGATTGTTGCTATGCTCTTTTTGTATATAAAGGGCTACAAAAACAAAAGTCACTCAGCTTTTAATGCAAAGAAGTAAATTTAAAAATCACTGGCTAATGTCCTAGGGTGAATATATGTGAACATGCCCCAGAGCTGGCATTATCAACAGATAAAGAGACCAAAGCAGAGCATTTGCTGGTCTTAAGTGACAGAGTTGTCAGAATTTAGCCACGACAGTCACACATCTATAGTTAAGTCTTAGTGTTGAAATCTTATGTTCCCTTTTTTAGAGGGAATATAAATTCAGGTACAAGGTTATAATATAAAATGGGTGTGTGTGTGTGTGTGTGTGTGTGTGTGTGTGTGTGTGTGTGTGTGTGTGTGTGTCTTTCTACTGAGATTTGACATAAATACGAAAAATTGAGAATTGAAGATAATTTATCTTTTTTTTTTTTTTTTTTGAGTTGCAGTCTCACTCCATTGCCCAGGCTGGAATGCAGTGGCACGCTCATGGTCCACCCCAGCGTCGACCTGCTGGGCTCTGGGGATCCTTCCGCCTCACTCTTCCAAGTAGCTGAAACTACATGCACACACTACCATGTCCGGCAAATTTTTGATTGATTGTAGAGACAAGGTCTTGCCAAGTTGCCCGAGCTGGTCTTAAACCCACAGGCTCAGCAATTCACTCATCTCAGTCTCCCAAAGTACTGGGATTACAGGCTGAGCCACCAAGCCCAGCCCAATAATTTATCCTTAAAAAAAAAAAAAGTTCAAGTGTCATTTAAACTGCTTAGAAAAAAATATCAGATGAGTTCAATTCTCCAACCAAAAACTTCCTGGGCAGGTCAAGATTGCCAGTCATGTCAAGGGATATGCAAGAAGAGCCTCCCTCCTCCCAGAGGACACAGAATCGTGCTGCACCCCAAAAATATAAAGAGGAAAACCAAACTGTGTTTAAGTTGGAATAAGCATAGTTCCAACCACATTTCTATGTGAGTCACCTCCTCCTAAACTGTCAAAGGAAAATAAGTTGACTTTTGGAAGCAGGAACATAAGACTTATTGGTTCCCACCAGTTTCTGCAGAAATCATAACCAATCCTATTGTTGAATAAAGTATCAGACTTGGGCTGTACCTTGCCAGAAGCTCTCAAGCTATGGGCCGGGACAGAGGCACTGGCGCACCAGACACAGGATGCTAATTCTAACCCAAGAAGAGCAGCTTCACTTGATGCTGCAAATGCGTGGTAAAGAGGTCACCTTTTTGCTGCTATTTAAAGAGCTTTCGGATGGCATCACAACTAATGATGAAATCGAGCTCTACACCAGGGAAAGCATGCTGCTCTTAGTGTCAAAACAATTCACTTTCTCTTAGCCAAACTTGACCTACCCCGTGTGGAGCGAGTCACACAGTCAGTACAGGACAAGCTCGCCAACACCTCAGTCTCTTAGAATCTAGGTAGCAATTGAGGGGAATTAAATATTGCGATAACTTCACTTAGATTGAAAAATGAAATGTGTTAGTAGTGGTAAGCATGGACTGGATGCTAATCAATAATTTATAGCTCAAACCCACCCAGCACCCCGAACTTGAGTCATATTTTACAATCCCTGGAGGGTATCTAAGCAACATCTCACACTGAACACGTGTGAACTGAATCTGTGTCTCCCAACCAGTCCTGCCCTCCTGTCCCAACCCCCTACAGCAAAGAGCACCCTCTCCTTCCAGTTGCTTGGGTCATGAGCCCTGGGGTCACCTTTGATTTCTCTCCCCCTCTCTCTCCCATCACATCCAAACCCACCATGTCAAACCCTACTGGCTTCAACTTGAAAGCGGATCCCCTGCTCAGACTCCTGGTCCTAGCCTCCAGCACTTCCCATCTGGATTACTGCAATAATCCCTTGACAAGGTCTTCCTGCTCCCATTCTGACTCAGTCTATTTCCAGCACAGCAGCAAGACACAGTCCACTAAGACACAGCCAGGTCCCAACTCCCTTCTGCCCAGAACCCTCCCGTGGCTTCCCAAGGTGCTCCAAGTAAAAGCCCAAGTCCTATAGCGGCCACTCTCCCCTCGCTCACTGTGTCACAGACACACTGGCAGCCTGGCTGGGACATCCTCTGCACACTGTGCACTGTTTCCACCTCAGGTCCTATGAGGTCAAGGAACTTTGCTTTGTCTGACATATTTCACCACTGTATCCCTAGCTGTGAAGAACCAAGCTTGGCACGTTAAGCACTCAGTAGTTGTTAGTTGAACGAATGAGCCGAGTGAATGCACACTGTGAGCTACTTTCAGTATCCCTGTATCTCAAGTGGGGAAACTGAGTTGCAGAAGGGTTAAGGAACTTAGTTTGTCCAAAGAGTGGGAGAGTCAGAAGTCAGACCCAGGCAGGACAGCTGCAGAGCACTGATCCTTAGCTAATCCCATCCCCCTTTCAAGCTAAAGCAAGTCTCCATTCAATCATGTTTGGGGGGTTTGGAAGCCTTTCCCAGTTGGCCCCAACATCTCAGTGTTCACAGGGTAAAGGTGGAATAAATCACAAGTGTCTTTAAGTTTCTTCCGAAGCCGCTTTCTGCAGAATGAAAGTGTTGCTCAGGCTGCAAGTGTTCTGTATCACACATAAAATGCTGGGAACTCTGATGCCAGTTCAGCAAACTTTTCTCAGACAAATCTGAGGCATGCGCCAGGCCAATGAACATCATCTCACATAGAGAGGGCATGTAGGCCACATGGGAAAGACTAGTTTTCCCAGAAATAGAGTCCTAGCAAGCATCTTCCTCTTGAGCTACATAAGGGGGCTGGAGGCAGGGAGAGGCTGGGCACAATGTGGGGATCACCTTCCACTGCATGCAGCTCCTGCTTCTAGGTGAAAAGGGGCATTAAACCACATGGAACACAAATAAGGAAAGAGACTTGATACTTAAGGTATTCTGACAACAGCCAGCTGAAAGAGTCTAAAAGCATTTCATGATTTTAAGTTAATAGGGCACCTCTGGGCTAGCCCTTAGGAACAATAATTGTCGTTATTCTACAAATGGAAAGAGAATACTAATTAGAGGTTTCTCTTTGATGGATAAAGAAGAGACCCAGTGGCTAGCTGCTCAGGCACTGGAGCCTGAGTTGGACCCTGGCTTAAACCAGATGACATCAATTTCATCATCTGTAAAATGCGGCTAATAATAGTACCCAAATCCTAAGATTGGTGTGAGGACTGAGAGTAAACGATTGTGAAGGGCTCAGTATCTGTGGTGCATGGCACATAAGAAGCAATTGTGTGCTGAAGGCTAATTCTTAGTAATGTAACATTTATTACACTATTAGTTAAACCAGCTTTTAGGATTTTTTTTTTTTTTTTTTTTTTGCATCCCCCACACCCCAGTGTGCTTCTATAGAACTTGAAAAAATTAGACTTTGGGTTAAATCATCAATACCTACTTTTAAACATAATTCCTAGCATTTTTATTGTTGGTATTGAATGTTTTGGAAAGCAGTTTGAAATACGGTTGGTTTAAGCTAGCTGGAAAAGATTAAGGATAGGGACAAGGTAGTAACTGGCAACGTTCAATATAATGAAACCTCCACAAATTGGAACTGAAAACACTCAGGTCCTCATCAACATACTCCTTGTTCTTTACTGTTAGGAGAAAAAAGCAAATGCCAACAAGAGGGAGGTATCACTGCACAGGAAGTTGAGAGCGGGGTCCTAGTTCTGGGGCACGTATGACCTCAGGAAAGGCGCTTCTGGGTGGGCCCTGAGGTCCCTGTGTCAGAGAAGGGCTGGGCGTTGACTCTAACTGCATTTCTAAGGCCTCACCTCTCCTCCAGTCACAGGAACTCTGCTTGCACCTGTCTCAAACTTGGGGTTCCATTGAGGATTTCATTAGGGAGCAAGGGTTTTGCTGCTGAAAAAGAACACAGAGCCAGAGCTTCCACGTCTGAAATGAGCCGAGCAAGCTGGGACTGTGAACAAATGGTGAGGATTTAGTTCACACAGCACGCCTCAAAGTAGCATCTTCCAAACCCATTTGCACAATGCAGGCTCTTGAAGTGGGAGTGAGGGTTCCCTACAAGGGGTTCCTGGGTAATGAGTTTGGCAAACACTCCTTTTTGGAGAGTCTTATGGGTTAAAAGCCTACATCAAGCCACTTTTTAACTTTCACTGAGCAAGGGTGAGGGGGAACTTTAACCCCTGGCCACTGTCACTGGGAAGGGACACAAGCCCCTGGCCACTGTCACTGGGAAAGGACACAAGCACTCTCCAGTCTCTGGAAATCAGCATACACTGGGCTAGTCCTTATCTTGCTCCACCTACAGCAAAGCCCTGGGGGGAAGAATGCTTTCAAAATTATGAGGAGGGGACTGAATAAAACCCACAACTCAAAAGATTAAATTCCAAACCATTCAGTATCATGTTGCTTCCTATGACTTCCCATCTAGTCTGCAGCCGGAGACCCAGAGATAATCAATAGGTATTTGCCAATTATTTATGAATACCTGTTTCATCACCCCAGTCACTTCATACCACAACGGCCATGTTCCTTTCACTTCTCATTTTTAAAAAAAGCACAAGATCAGGTATCTGGTCCTAAACCAGGGGAAGTAAGGATCAGTTGGAGGCCTAAACTTCACCTGCACATAGACTACTTACGTACCGAATCCTGACTTGTACCCCGCACCTCTATGATAAAATTAAGTTAAAAAATAAAAGCACAAAATCACTCTCAAATCTTCAACTCACAGGTGTAAACTGTTCTCTTATTTCTAGACCAGGGGCGGTGGCTCACTCCTGTAATCCCAGAGTTTTAGGAGGCCAAGGCAGTAGGATCACTTGAGCTCAGGAGCTCGAGACCAGCCTGGGCCACATAGTGAGACCGTATCTCTACAAAAAATTAAAAAATAAGCGAAGCAAGGTGACTTGCACCTGTTGTCCCAGCTTCTTGGGAGGCTGAAGCAGGAGAACTGCTTGAGCCCAGGGGTTTGAGGTTACAGTGAGCTGTGATTGCACCACTGCACTCCAGCCTGGGCAACAGAATGGGACTCTGTTTCTAAAGTAAAAATAAAAATACATTTAAAAAATTCTGACATTGCTCAGATGTTATTTCCAACTGTCCTCCTGAGAAGTACTGATGGCATGATTTGGGAATATTTCCAATTCTGGCTGAGGCTGGGCAGGGGCCAAACGCTAGGCCCGGACTGGAGGTACAATAAATCAGCCGCAGGTGTCACTCTGTCCGAGTCAGAAGGCTTGCTTCTCCAAAATAGTAACTGTTTGTGTGACTCTGCACTTGTAATAACGTCCTGCCACAGGGCCCCGCTCGCCCACACTCCTGCATTACCCAGAGACCCGCTGTCCCCTTGCAAGGTGAGCACACCGTCTCTGATCAAGTTCCTTTCCGCATAGTGTTGCTGCCCCACCCAAGAACTAACGAGGCAACCACCCAGGGAGCCACAGCGAGCGGCTTCCAACTTGGAAAATCATTCTGGCAAAATATAAACCGTTTTGGAAACCAACGAGTTCCCCTATGGCCAACAGGGTTGCCGTGAGCTGTCACTTCTGGGAGTCAGAGAGGTTTCTTGGTTGACTTTTGGATTTCGGTCTCCTAGCCTATGAAGCACAGGAAATTGGAAGAAACTCGAGTGCGAACAGGGTCGTCTGACAGGATGCGCTCAGTCGCATCAAGTTCTAAAGAAGCTGACAACCTAACAAACGATAGGGTCGGGACTATCCACGGGGACCCGCCTCACGGCGATCCCCCGCAAAGCCGATGGACCAAGGGACCGCGCTCGTCTTTCCAGGGCTGGCGAGATGCCGGGTCCCCAGGCCCCTGGGACACCCCTGGGCGGGCCCTGCCCGTCTCCGACGCTGCGCCCCGGGAGCCCCGCCGCTGGCCCGCCCCTCACGCGTAGGAGGCCCGGGCGGAGGTGGGGCGGCACCGTCCTGGCACC